ATTGTATTTGCCCAGGGAAATGAAAGAGTAAACGGGACTGAAACTTCTGCCAAACCTTGTCTAGTAAAGAGTAGAGAGTTAAACTGGCTTAAACGTTGCTGTATTTAACTCCCATTTTTAATTCAAAATGGCAAACTGTACCCAAGTCTTCAGAATAAAAAGATGTTTTTGAAACTTTATTTTTGATTTGTTTATTCCAGTTGAAATGTGTCTTAAGTACTGTTTAGTAATGCAGGCACATACAAAATTAGAGCATATGGGCCCTTCATCCCGTTTCTTCATTCTGTATGGTCAAGGCTTCTGCCTCATCTCCACAGTTCCACCTGCTTCTCCTATCCCTTGATTTACTGAAAGTCCAAAAGATTGTCTGCCACAGCCTGAAGTAAGTTCAGTGACGGAGCAACCTTATGGAACAGGGAGCTCCGAATGTTCACAACCTTCCGAATGAAGAAATATCTCCTCCATTCTATATGACTAACTGCTTATACTCTGCTTCTATGTTCTAGATTCTCCAGGCCAAGGAAACAACTTCTCTGTCAAGCCCCATCAGAATCTTGTATGCATCAATGAAATAATCTCTCGTTCTTCTGAATTCTGGAGAGTATAGGTCTAATTTACTGAGCCACTCATCATAGGATAACCGTCTTATTTCAGGAATCAATTCAGTGAAATAGTTTCCTCCGGTATAAATATATTCTTCTGTGGATATGGAGACCAGTACGCTAGGTGTAGTCTCAGTGAAACCCTATGCAATTGTAAAAAAAACTTCAGTCTTCTTGTGCTTCAATCACCATGCAATAAAGGCTAACATACCAATTGCCTTCCTAAATGCATGATGCACCTGCATGCTAACATAGAGTTATTTGGGCACAAGGAATACAAAACCTCTATATTTTTAAAATTCCACAACTTTTAAAATGGTTTCTGCCTTCTACAAAGTAAACCACATTAACACAAAACAGGTCATCACAAGCAAATGACCTGTTTGGAAGTACAGAGCTCTGGAATTCCCTCTATAGATCTTTCCTTCTGCATCTCTTTCTACGAAGACCTTCCTTAATACGCAAATCTAACTGTTTTTAGTAATTCCACTTAACATTATCTTCTTTGGTCCAGTGTTGTTCTTGTCTGATCACTTTGGAATTATTTTTAACCTTTTATTTAGCCATATGAAGGAAGTTTGTTTTCTTGTCCAGTCTTGAAAGATCAAAAATGTTGGCAGTCACCTTCAAAAGCTGATTGTTCAACGTATTCTGAAGAAGGGTCTATGCCCAAAATGTCAGCCTTCCTGCTCCTCTGATGCTGCTTGGCCTGCTGTGTTCATCCAGCTCTACACCTTGTTATCTCTTGTTCACCGTGAAAGCAGGAACTGGGGAAAGTTGATGGTTGGAAATAAAAGGTGCAGTTGTATCAGTTTTGCTAAGGAATTCACCCTGCAAGATAAATAGAACAGCAGCTGTATAACACAGACAGGTGCTTCTGCATACAGCCTCAGGGATCAACTTTTAATATAGTGACTGAAACCTCCATTTACCGTTGCCCTCCTATGGCAGAAACCTTTGAACAATGCTATTTGATCATGAAATGAAATTTTTACATTAGGTAACAGCAAATATGAAAGATGCAGAAGGGGTTCTGATAGTGTCCTGGATCTCCTTTACTAGTGACTTGATAATAGTAGCATCAGTTGACACGGGCTTAAGAATGGTGCGTAGCGTTTCACAATTTACCACACCTCCAAGATCGCTATGATTTAAGTAACTTCTTTATATAGTCATAGAGCTATACAGAGCTGGAAACAGACCCTTCAGTCCAAATTGTCCATGCTGACCAGATATTCCAAATTAACCTAGTCCCATTTGCCAGCATTTGGCCCTTAATCCCTCTAAACCTTTCCTATTCATATACCCATCCAGATGCCTTTTAAATGTTGTAATTGTACCAGCCTCCACCACTTCCTCTGGCAGCTCATTCCATACACACCACCTTCTGTGTGAAAAAGTTGCCCCTTAGATCGCTTTTAAATCTTTCTTCTCTCACTTAAACCTATGCCCTGTAGTTTTGGACTCCCTCACCCCAGGGAAAAGACCTCGCTATTCACCCTATCCATGCCCTTCATGATTTTACAGATCTCTATAAGGTATGCTGCAGAAGTGATGATTTGTCTTCTGAAGCATAGTCATTTTTGTAATGAGTCGCAAGAAAACAGATTCAGAAACTGCAAATTGATTACTTAATCAATTATCTGGTTTGGCACCAGTTGGAGGACTGCTTTCTCCAAAGAAAATTGCACGTGCGACAGTGCAGCATGCGATGTGGTAGCCTGAATTATGTGCTCGAGGCTTTGGAGGGGAGCATTAACCTTATCTGATTTTCCCACTCTTCAGCAACATGGCACTTGGACTGATTTATTGTACCATATGGTGTAGAATTTGCAGGAGGCAGGGCATCTGATGGCATGCTCTTTGAGCTTAATTTTACCCCTGAATCCAAGTTTCCCCTCTGCAAGTTGCGAGAGGTGTAAGCTGATAATAGTGCAATGTGACTGGGACCTTGACAAATTGAAGGGGTAATACTTTATCTCCTTAATTAAGGAGGTTGAACATTGGGAAGAAACAGGAATGCAGAGAAAGAAATAGATGAATCAGAGTCAAATCAGGTACAAAATGAGCAAGAAAGATTGGAATAATAAAAAGAAAAAAATAATTTTAAAGAATACATATTGTAGGAGTAAGACTTCAGTTTTGCGTGTTTCCTTTCTGGGTTACCTTTCTGAGAGATTGAGTGACATTGCAGGATCAAAAATCTTTTGTGAAAAAAATATTTATGCTGTTACCAGAATGACTTGTATTCATATAATGCTTTTCACAACTACCAGATGTCTGAAAACACCAGAAGGATCACACACCAGAAGGATCACCGGACCTGAAACTTTAACTCTGTTTTTTTCCCTTCGCAGATGCTGCCAGACCTTCTGAGCTTTTCCAGCAACTTTGTTTTTATGTCTGAAAACACTCTACTACAGACAATTACTACAGACAATGAAGTATCTTTGAAATGCAGTGACTGTTTTATGTTGAAAATGCAGCAGCCAATAATCGCTCAGCACATTCTCTCAAATTGCAATGTGGTCACATAGTCTGTGTTTCTGATGATGTTGATTGAGGGATAAATATTAAAAAATGGTAAACAATAACAATGGTCTTTACTTTCTGCAGTGATTTGCAATTCATGGACATCTTTTCTCACTGATCAATCAACATTCTTTTCAACTATGCCAGGGGATAAAACAAGTGATTACTAAGGATTGTAATTGCTTTTTAAATGTGTGTGTGTGTGTGTGTGTGTGTGTGCATGTGTATGTATGTATATATATATATATATACATACACATATTTATAGAGAGAGATAGAGACTGTGAGCTCTTAATATTGAGAAGGTTAATAAATCTCTTCTGGAAGAGTGGTAAATGAATGCTGATTGTGTATTCAGCTCCATTCATTGTGTTCCTGTGGCTTGGCAGATTTGTTGAAGGAAATGTGATTCTTATTCACTTTTGAACTGAAATGTTGGCCTTGTGCAATAATGTTTTTGAATATTCTGGACTTCTATGCACAGTGCTTTTGTTTGAACAATGTTTTAGCTTTGGGGATTGGAAAAGTGAGAAACCGTCCTTCATTTACTTGAATTTGAGGGAATATGAACATATGGTAAAACATGACTGCTCCGCTAGGCAGATTAACTAAAATTAAAAAATTGAGGGTTTTTTTTTGTTCAGTTACTGAAGAGTTTAATCACTTGGTAAAGAAGCTTAAGTGGCTTAAATAGCTAGTGCAGTATTCTCCTCATATAGTTGATGTGTTGTTTGAGGAAATGCTCGTGATAAACAAATGCTTGTGGCTGCTGTGGTAAGACCAATTAATGGATAATTTGACAAAGTTTAGTTGGATTCTACCTTAGAACATAAAATAGAAATTGGACACTAATGTCAATAATGTAGATATTGTGTTGGGCATCTGTCGGATTTACATTCATTCAATGTGTCAACACAAACAGGTATTTCAGAAATTAGGAAAAATACGTCTCTTTAAGGAACAGAAAAGTTAACAATCTTAGGTTGGATTAGCTTATTGGAAAAGTGCATTCAGTGGAGGATGCCCATGATTTTTCATTGACATCACTCATGCTAAGATTGTTCAATTAATATTCTAACCAGTAGTTAGTTGGCAGAGGCTGGCATTCATGTACACTTTGCTAGTGATACCACTAAATTTCAAGTTACACGATTGCACATTGTGAACTGGGTAAAATTTTCTATGGTAGCAGCACTGTTTGAAAGAGAATAATGGTATATGCGTATGCAATGTCTGCCTACCATGTGAGGTTATTATCTCTTGGGAATCCTTAAGGACGTTAGGCTTTGTCTTAACCATATTTAAATGCTACTTTTAATATGTGGATGAATATAAAGTGCCTTAGCACTTCGAATTGACTAATCGTTTCATCTCCTGTCCTTTTTTATTTGAAATTGATACTTTATGGCTGATTAAGAGACACAAGTGCCTTTTCTTAAACTCACATTCATAATGTTTCCAGGATCACAGGTTCAACAGATATTAAAATAGTAGTATCACTAATACTGTGGAAAACGGTAAATAAATTGGGTAGAATAGCAAAGTGATACAGATTATTTAAAGTGCCATTGTAGGCTAGCAAAGCAATTAAAAATGCTAACAAATCCCTGTGATTTATGTTTGTGATATAGATTTCAAGTTAAACTCGCAAAGATACTTGTCAGGCCCTACTTAGAAGTACCATATACATGTCTGGTACCCAGAATATAAAAATAACATAGAAATATCAGAGAAAGTATGAAGGAGAGCTGAGAGCCGACAGCTATCTGGAAAAAGTGTACGTACAGCCATAGAGTCATAGGGTTATACAACACTGAAACAGACCCTTCAATAAAATCAATAAAAATGTTTGTTTTGTTTTCACAGTCACAGATCAAGATACAGTTAAGCGATACTTTGCCAAGTTTGAAGAGAAGTTCTTCCAGTGTTGTGAAAAGGAACTTGCCAAAATCAACACATTCTATTCAGGTAATACTTGACAGACGAGAAAAGTCAAGAATCTTTTTCTTTCATGGGTCTATCGCCTGTGAAAATTAAGAACAAGTGTACCTCTCTCCATATTTGCTCTAATGTGTGTTTGAAGGAAGGTTTGTCATGAATTTTGCATGATGGACATATGAACAATGCTGGTTGTGAAAAGATTCCCCAGCCCATCCAACCTATTCTATTTGTGATATTTTGTGCATCAAGATAATATGGATTCTACACCCTACTCAAAACTCTGTCATCTCCTGCAAGATGCAAAGAAACCAGACAAAAATATAAACCAAATTTTGGAGATAAATCTGGGAAATTTCTCCCTAAATATTCAAAACTAGTCCAGAGATCATCCTAGTCCTGATACTTCATTCAAAAGGCAGTTTACTGAAAGGAATTAATATACACTCCTGCCAATTTCAGGTCAGAACAAGAATTCTGCAAGTTAACGGCAATCGTGCACTAAGCACCAAATAACATTCACCCTGCACAAGCCAACAGCCTGTTCTATAGGTCCACCATTCTATGAGAAAAGATCCATGCAACCTCCATCTAGTCGGCATAATTTTAAAATTGTGGCTCAATTGTCTGCTCAAAAGAACAAAATCCTTTCTGTTCTTCATCTTGTACACCTTGAACAATTAGCTCACCACGGAGTCTACCGTTCTGTAAAATGTGGAGTCCCAGCTCTTCAGCCTATTCTCATAACTGTATTGCAAAAAACAGGGAATTAATACAGTTATATCGGTCCAAAGTCTCCAAATCACCAATCATAAAAGGACAACAAAACTGGACACAATATTCTCACTGAGGTTGGATGATTTGTCCTTTAGTCCGTTGACCTATAATTTCCAGCCCAATGCATTATTTGCTGTCTCTCTTTGAGGCATTGCACATGAATGCTAGAAATCTATAAATTAGAACACTTGGATCCCGTTCTTTCTCCCCTTTTATTGCTTTTCCTGAAAGATGTATGTATGTTCAATACTTCATTTGATTTTTTTTGTTACATGGACCAATGTGCAATGAAAATTTTTGTTTTGCCTGCAGTACAGACAGCTCATATGAAGTGCATTAGGGTAATGGAAGAGAACGAAGAATACAATGTTATGGCTGCAGAGATCAAGATCAGCATTAAATTTAAAATTTGAGAGGTCCATTCAGAAGTCTAATAACAGCAGGGAAGAAGATATTACCCAGCCCACATGCACGACAAATGCACTTCTCTAAATCAGACATAATTTGCCAATCATTCATGGGATGAGTGCATTGCTGGCTGGACCAGCATTTATTGCCCATCCCTAATTGTGCTTCCGCATTTGCTACCATTTGTATTTTTTGAAAAAGTCAATCAATTTTCTAAGAAGTTTATTTTTACAGAGCTTTGTTGAGGGTCCCTAAGCTGACCCTCTCTAAGTAGTCCTATACTACATTACTAATGATTCCCACAAGCATCTTCCAGATGGTGTTTAAACCTCATTTCAGAAACTTTAACACAAAAATATTGTTTGTCATTTTCAGTGAAGTGCTAAGGTGTGTAGTCATCTTTGATGAGGTGTTAAATCAAAATCTCACCTGCAACCTCAGGGTGAGTATTTCTCCCATGGCATCATTTTACATTTTCCTAATCATCCTGTTCAAAGATGTCATGACACAACTCTGGAAGAAGTGGGATTGAACCCAGGTCTCTCGGCCAAAAGGTTAGGACATTATCACTGTGCCACTAGAACTTGTAGCACTGTATTAGATATTTTCTAATCAATTCATTAGAAGATGTTACTGCACACCTCTGGAGTAGGTGGTTCTTGAACCCTGGCTTTGTAGAGAAATTAGACCAGATGTTCTGACCAATATTTATCATTCAGTCAACACAACAAATTGCTTATCTTGCCATTATCACCATTGGCATTGTAAATTGATTCCTGCATATTTGGATGTTCCTAGGCACTAAAAGGTACTGTGGAAGTACAGATATTCCTTTTTTTGCCCAATACTAATGACAAACTAATGAGCTTCACAGCTGCCCCAGTCTGACTTACCATCTTTTTAGCCTCTTTCCACTCTAAGTGAAATGTCCCAGAGTGGAGTGAGCTATAACAGCTACGGGCAAGAGGTGACATTTGCCCTATCTTCTCCACGTGGACATAGTCCAGCACAGTTACTCGACCTATTTTCAGGTTCGTAGTTCTGTCAAAAGTAATATGCTCGTCTATTTTTAATATTAGGTTTTATTGTAAGCAATATCATTAAATGCTAACAGCTGAACTTCATCTTCAAGAATGAAGACTGGCGCAAAGTATTTAAAAATATTTTTACCATGCCCTGCAACTCTTTTAACTTGTGCTTTAACTCATGCAATTGTTGCCAATTTTGCCAGTTTATCATTTCCACTGCCCAGGTGAAGATTAGTGAACACATCAGAATCTCAGGATTGAATAAAGCATCTTGCTGGTTTATTTGTTTTTGTCTTACACTGTGCAGAGGCTTTATTAATCACACGTTGGCTCAAAACTGCAGATTATTTATCTTGAGGATTTTCATAATCTACAGTTTAAATGCTGTGTATGTAGATAAGGTGAATGTTGCAGAAAATGTATGTGATTTATTTAGAATAGAATGGTTACCACATAGAAGCAGGCCAGATGTGTTTGTACTCTCTCTCTGCAAATGCAATCCAGCTTGTCCCAGCCCCATGCTTGTTCGTTCTTTCTTGTCCCTTGGCTGCTTGTACAGTTCCAGTTTGAAAGCTGCAATTGAATTTACCTCGGCCGCACACTCCATGCATTCCAAAAAAATTCTTTCTCATGTCACAGTTGGTTCTCAACCTGTCACCTTAAATTAGAGTCCCCTGGTCTTTAACCCTTCCACCAGTGGGAAAAGTTTCTCTCAATCTGCTCTGTAATGACCTTCATGATTTTAATTGCCTCTATCAAGTCTCCTCTTAACCAGCAATGCCCACCCTAGCAAAATCAGGTTTCTTCAATCTGTCTATAAAACCAGTTCCAGTGATGAGGGGCATAATTGTAATAAATCTTTCTTACACCTTGTCTAAAGCCTGCATTTCTGTCCTGAAGTGCAGTGTCAAGAGTTTCATCAAGGTTTGCCACAACCTGCTTGGTTTTGTGCTTTATGCCCCAATTTATAAAGGCCAGTATGTCGTATGTCTTTTCAACTGCTTTCTCAGCCTGCTTTATCACCTCCAGCAAGTTATACGCCCATTTCTCCAGATCTGGGAAGTATTTTCTGACCCCGCATCATCTTTTGGATTTTAACCTTGAATTTGAAAAGCATTTTTTTTGTGCTTCCTAGCAAAGTACACGACTTCATATTTCTCACATTAAATTTCAACCATCAGGTGTTTGTCCTTTCTACCAGGCTATCGTCCAGTTGACAATGATTCCAAGTTTCAGCTGCAAATGTGCCCTGCATGCTGAAATCTAAATCGTTACTACATATCAAGAAAAACAGTGTTCCTAGCAACAAATGCTAGTGAACTCAATTGTGTACCTTTCTCCGGTCTGAGAACTACTCATGACTGTTTCCAGCACATCAAAGTTCGTATCCATGCTGACACTGTCCCATTTATTCTGAGGGCTTCAACTTTGTTTTGTATATGAATACATTAAACTGGCTTACACATCATTAACAAAGCTTTAACAAGTTGATTGTCCATTTCTTGGAAGTTGGTACAGTGCAGAGGCAATTTAAAGACGTTGGAGTGATATGTAGAAATAGAAGAGTAGGACTCCACCTTGTGGTGTACTGAACATAGGCTCAAAATTCCAAATACTGTAAATAAAAGCAAAACATTGCAGATATCGGAAATCTGAAATAAAAAATGCAGATTCTGGAAATGCTCAGCAGGTAACTGGCAGTGTCTCTGGCAAGAGAAATAAAGCAAACATTTCAAGCCTGATTCCCAGGTTGAGCTGATGAGGTTACCTCAGCATCTTATCCGGGCTAGAGTGTTTCAGTAACCTTAGCATTCTTGGACTTAGTCATAGAGTCTTAGAGATGTGCAGTCCAACTCCTCCATGCTGACCAGATATCCTATATAAATCTAGTCCCATTTGCCAGCATTTGGCCCATATCCCTCTAAACCCTTCCTATTCATATACCCATTCAGATGCCTTTTAAATGTTGTAATTGTACCAGCCTCCTCCACTTCCTCTGGCAGCTCATTCCACACATGTGCCACCCTCAGCATGAAAAAGTTGCCAGTTAGGTCCCTTTTGTGTCTTTCCCGTCTCGTCTTAAAACTATGCCCTCTAGTTTTGGACTGTCCCACCCCAGGGAAAAGACCTTGCCAATTTACCCTATTCATGCCCCTCATGATTTAATAAACCTCTATAAGGTCATCCCTCAGCCTCCGAAGCTCCAGGAAAAATAGCCCTAGACTATTCAGCCTCTCCCTGTAGCTCAAACCCTCCAACCCTGGCAACATCCTCATAAATCTTTTCTGTACCTTTTCTAGTTTCACAACATCCTTCTCATAGCAGGGAGACCAGAATTGCACACAATATTCCAAAATTGGCCAAACCAATGTCCTGTACAGCGGCAGCATGACGTCCCAGCTCCTAAACTCAATGCTCTGACCAATAAAGGCAAGCATACCAAACACCACCTTCACCTATCCAACAGCAACTCCACTTTCAAGGAACTATGAACCTGCACTTAAAGGTCTCTTTGTTCAGTAACACTCGCCAGGACCTTACCATTAAGTGTAGAAGTCCTGCCCTGATTGGCGATTCCAAAATGCACTACTTCACATTTATCTAAATTAAGCTCCATTCACCACTCCTTGGCCTATCTAACCAAGATCCCATTGTACTCTGAGGTAACCTCCTTCACTGTCCAGTATGCCTCCAATTGTAGTGTCATCTGCAAACTTACTAACCATACCTCCTGTGTTCATATCCAAATCATTTATATAAATAACAAAAAGCAGTGATCCTTGTGGCACACTGCTGGTCACAGACCTCCAGACTGAA